TGAGGTCATCATCAAACAATTTTTCCTTCTGTCTCATCAGAAGATATATCTGCCTTTCATTCATTCAGATCCCTTTTTGGAAGCTCATTTCTAAAACATGCCAAAAGGCAATGTAGAAATTTCTATAAAAATGTGTAGAAATTTTGTGATAAATTGAAGATAACAATTAGTCAATGACTGCTGGGATTATAGAAACACATTAAAATTAGATACTTTTGAGAAAGTATTTTTAGTCTTTTTTTTTTATTATTATGGAGAACATCTACCTTTGAAACCAGAGTGACATTGTCACAGCTTGATAGGTAAATAACTTGCACTATCTGAGGCTCAGTTGCTGGAATTGTAAAACAGAGATAATAGTTGCTTCAAAAGATTAATGTGAAAATGAGAGATAGCAGGTAGAGTGTTCACTTCAAAGTGTGGTGAACATTTAGTAGGTGCTCTGTAAATGATAGTCAATTACTATGATAGATTACTATTGATAATAGGATATTCAACATATGTGTAGTTACAGTTTTAAAATGTTCAAACTTTCTTAAGTTTTTAAGAATTTATATTTCTTTTCCAGCACTATTTGTTTATATTCATTAGAATTCGTCCTGTAGAATATCTTGGCATAGTACATTATTGATGACAATGCTTCCTGTCCTACTTTTTCCATGGAAGTAAGATTAATTTATATGCTGATTAATTTGGGGGGTTGGTCACCTTACTCCTCTGCCTTTGTCATAGATCTCATTTGTTTGTAATCAATTTTTCTTAACCTTTATATACCCAAGCAGATGGTGCATGAATATATTACTTATTTGCTTCATGCTCTCACTCATAAGACAGACAGCTAATGGATAGGATTTTAAAAAGTAGGTAAATTAGGTTTTTTGTTGGAATCTAGATGGTTTCAAATTTGTAGGGATTAATTTCATGAAAATCCTTGCTAGTATATGTGTATGTGTGTATGAATGAAAAATAAGGATATGGTGTATATTCATAATATGTATGAAAATAGGGAGACGATATATCTTAGAACATGGCTTGTTTTCTCTGCTTAAAGTGCATATATAAATTTGAGATAAAGAGAGGATGTCTCAGAGGGAGTGTGTGTTTTTTCTAGCTTAGAATTACTACTTGGTTGGCTTACTTTAGCAAGTTGTAATATATTGTCTTTACAATGTCTTTAGCCCTAATGTTTTATAATCTGAAACTAAAATTCAGTCTTAAGTAGTAATAATTTTTATTACTTAGTATATTATTACAAGTAACTTATTATAATAATACAAGTAACTTATTCTTTGAGATCCTGAGATTTTTTTTTTTTTACAGTGGGAATCATGAATGGATGTAGTTCAATGTTGAACACGATTCTGAGAGAAACTGAATTATCACAATTTTTCCTGACTCTAGTAGTCCTATAAATAATCAACAGTTCTCAAGATTAGTGGATTTCTCTGATCTTTTGTCACAAAGCTTTATTAGTGAATGCAATGATAGAATACCACTTGGAAAGTAGAAGAGTATTTGGGGAGAAAAAAAGTAAGAGAAAGGAAAGAAGGATGAAAGAAAGAGAAGGAGTGATAAAGAAAAAGGAGGAAATAAGGAAGAGACAGAAAGAAAGGAAATTATAAAGAAAAGGAACAATAAAGGAATAAAGAATAAAGGAAGGAATGAAACTACCCTTATTAACTATATCTTAGGTTACGGGCTTATACATGACATAGGATCCTTGGTCGGCTGAAGTAGGAGTTCTCCTTATTTTGTAGATGAATGCCTGAGTGGTGCCTATAGAAGGAGTATTTGATTTCAACAAGTCATTGCTACACTCAGCATGAAGTTACCCCAAAGACTTTGTACCTTGTTTCTTCATTCATTGGTATTTCTGGCTTTATTTCCTGTCTTTGTTCCACAATCACCATGAGCACAGTCTGTGTGCTAATTTTAGCCACCAGGATTTAATATCATTGTTAACTACAGATGGCTAGGCAATTAAGTAATTTTATTTCTCTAGTGGCAGCTTGTCAGGGTTGTGCTGATAAAACCACTGTAGCTGGAGGTCACTCACTTGCCAAGGGCTCTAATAATTTATCTTTTTGGGCACAAACTTCCTTGACTGAAAATACAAACAAAACAAAACAAAACAAAACAAAAAACCCAAAAAACAAAACAAAACAAAATACCCTGGAAGAATATGGTTGTGGTTGAGAATCCCTCTCAGGGTCCAGAACAAGTTGGTCTGAATTTCAACTCTGCTGCTACTATTGACATTTCCTTGGGAAAATTGCTTAACTTTGTTGTACTTCAGGGTTTTTTTTTTCATATGTAAAAGGGGAAGATAATAATATGTACATCCTAGGGTGTTTTCTAGCATTAATGAGTTAATATGTAAAACTATCCTGGCCCATAACAAATATGATGATTGCTGTGTTACTTTATTATTGTTTAAATTCAGTCTAGCTTTGTAATTCAGAAATGAAAGAATACTTCAACTCTTCCCTCACACTTTCTGTTTCCTAAAATTCCCCTGCATTCCAACCACATGGAATGTTCTTGTTCTTGCAGGGGTTACTGCCTTTGTAAGTTGCTATTCTTATGCTGGAAATTAATTCTGAAGCAACATTCATCTCAGTAAATGTTTTGTCATGAAGTTGACTATTCCTTCTCCCTCTTACCTTAAGAGCTTCTTATACACCTCTATCATGACACTTTATTGTTGCAGTGTAAGTGCTATTAGTACCCCCACTACCACCTAAAAAATTGTCCCCTGAGGACAGAGAGAACAGTGTGTCTTGAATTTTTTTTGCCTTTTTAAAATTTTTATTTTTTTATTTGTTCTAATTAGTTATACATCATAGCAAAATGCATTTTTACTCATTGTACACAAAGGAAGTAAACTTTTCATTTCTCTTGTTGTACACAATGTAGAGTTGCATGATATGTATAGTCATACATGTACCTAGGGTAATGATATGTGAATGTACTACAGTACCTGATATATAGGCTTTCAATAAATGTCAAAAGAATAAATGAGGACAGTAATCCAGGGAGATAAACTGAATAATGCTCAGAGACCAATGGTATTGTAAAATAGGCATGTGGTCAGAGCTGAGACTCATAAACAATATTTATTTGCCTCTTTATCTGTCATCTAGGTATATAATAAAACTTATTTTACATGTCTTGTTAAAAATATCTAGTAGACATATTATATTAGAAATCCTGTTTCACATTTTCAAAAAGTCATGAAATATACATTATTGCCAGTCCCATTTTATTAATGAAGAAAGAAGCTCAGAGCATTAAGTGACAAAGCCAAGCCTTACTGAAGCTGGGATCAGACTCTTAATCTCTGACTTCAAACTCTCTACACCGTCATGTTCTAAACTGATCTCATATGCACACTGCCTTTTGGATAGATGGGAGATACTTTTCCACAAAGACTATTTTACCTTGTTCCAATGAAGACTTGAGATATCTCCCAAAAGTCAATCTCTTGCAGCCCAGTCTAGTCCATCCATCCTATTATTTTTGGAGCAAAACAGAAGTGCATGCTGCTATTTAACCTTTTCTTTTATTAAAAACAAAAAACAAAACAACAGCAACAAAAAACCCCAGATATTTCCAAAGACATGGAGAAAAGTACATTTAAAGTCTTAGGAATTAATTCCAATTCCATTTGGTTTTAAAAATATCTTGAAAACCTATCAAACTGAAGGATAAAAATGGAAAACTACCATTAACTTCTTTGACAGTCATTTTGAAAGGAAGAGATTTCCCCCTAGACTACTTGCCCCCCGTGTGAGTGATGCCTCAGCACTGCCAAATAAATGCCATTCTCTGATGATGATGATGATGATGATGATGATGATGATGATGACAATAATAATAATAATAATAATAAACAACAAGTGTGTTGGATGAGGGCTAAGTCTGAGCTGAGGGAGCAGTAAAGTGAGGATGGAAGCCCTTCCTTACTTTGTCACTCTCATTTACTGATAGGGAATCGGACCATAGATGCTAAACAACCAGAAACATGTCTTATAAGAAACTTATTTTGATTTCTCATTCTGTGACAATAAGTAGAAGTTGGCAAAGGACATAAATGGGATGTTTTGGCTTAAATATTTTCCAAAGTAGAATTTATGTAGCTATTGAAATCCTGTGAGGCAAGAATTATCGACTACACATGTCTAGGCTGAGCAATTCAAGATAGATTGGAGTGAAAGTTATGATCAAAGTTGCGAACAAGAAGGCCTCTGACCAATAAGCAATCTATTCTAGTAGTCTGGGTAGGTAGGGAGGTTGTAGGTTAGCCAGATATTTTGCATGATAGGAAATGGAACCTTATCATTCTAAGTTACCTCTTTCGTCCAAAGTAGGGTGCGTCATATGTGCTATCCACCTTTATTATCATTCCATTTCTGTTATTATGTCAAAGGAAAGGAATTTTCTTCATTTTCCAGGTAAGAAAGAGTCAGAAAGAGAGGGTAAGCTCAGGTCATCCTGATGGGTTAGGAATTTGGGCTGGGTGTGGTCCTCCAGATGCCGGGTATTCATCAATTTACACCTGTCAGCCTGCTACTCTCTGGTGTGAAATATTCGTGTAATTTCAGGTCAGAAAAATCCATGGGTCTTCATAGATTATGGAAATAGGGTTTGTTCCTCTGTGATGCAAACAGAGGTTTTGAAGCTTGAGATCTTACCACTTGGAATCAATAAATTCCCCTGTTCATTTTTCTCTTTCTTCCAATGGCTGGAAAAAGGATCTGGCAGTATTCTCTACTTATATTCCTCTCACAATTCAGGGGAGAAAAATCTGCATTCGGTCTATAAATAAATCCTTTCATGAAACCTGGGTTTGAAGTACCCATTTCTCATCTTTCAATCCAAGTCAGTCTTTAATATTTGAGCACTGACTATTTTCCCAGTTTTGTGTGAAATTACTCATATGTGTACTTACAATCTCCTACATTTTTTGTTTTTGATCTCTCTTTGCTTTTGTTTTAACTTCAGTGTTAAACCTTGCTTCACCTACTGATATTAGTGAGAGACTCTGCGGTTCAAGTGTAAGGTATTGAGCATCACTGACAGCAGCTCCATATCGTACTGACCTGCCTCAGGAAGAAGGTAAAGTGCAACTCATTGCTTTAATCACCGCATTCCATAAAGGGAGATGTCACTTCACCAGCTTTCCTCCCAGTGCCAGGAAATTAGCTCAAAGTATTTTTCTTCAGATAAGTGAACATGCTTGTCATAGCTTACTTATGCCTGTTAAATCTTTCTATGAAATATTTTACAGAGAAATATGTAAATGTTTTGACTACTTGTGCCATTCTCTAAAGACTACAGATTACACAGAGATGTCTATATGAAAAGGAAGGGAAAGCAAGAAGAGATTGCTCGATGTGCCATTTTTCATTAATAAAGACAGAAAGACTAAAAGAACATTCTTTAAAACTGGATTCTTAATGTAAATAGCCAAGAAAAGTGATATGTACCCCATGGATTGACCTCCAAGTGATACCAGCCTGATAGAAACACATTATAATTTTATAGTACTGCACATCCTCTCACCTTTTTTCCCCTGAGAGTAAATAAGTAAAACAGGGCTTAAGAGTAGAAGATTTGCCAAATATAAATTAGTAGAAACTTTGTATATAGCAGTTCTTCCCAGTCAATAGTCAGCAGATGTATTACATTAGGAATATAGCGAGGGCAGGAAAAAAGGACATTTTCCCTAGTTAGTTCTATTAAATGTATGAAGTCAAGTCTTTGTTTCATTTTAGCTATTTAATTGTTGTTTTTTATGTTTATTATTGAACTAGTAAGATAATGTTGGATATGTTAAAAAAATCAATATCATGGAACAATTGTGCTTTTCTACACGAGATGACAAAAAAAAATGTTTTGTCAAATGACCATCTCTTTGTATTTTCAATAGAACACATTTTATCCAATTTTTGTGAGTTGAAAATGTTAGTGTATAATTTGACTGAGGAATGCATTACCTTACTGACATTTGCTCATGGTGGTAGAGCTAAACAAAGCATTAGTCAGGGTTCCTGGTATAAAGCAGGAGAATACATCGCTGGCCTTATCAAAAAAGATGAACTGCTAAAATATCAACATTGCCCAGAATTGACATTTGGCTAGTAGTCTAAGGCTTAGCAATTGGAGTATTGTGGGGTAGGCATCAGGAACTGCAATTAAAGTCATACTGCATCAACATCTTGATCCCTAAGCTCTGGCTGTGGTTGGGCTCATTTATCCACCTCCATGAAGAATTCCCCCATTGTTCACATTACTATTCCAGATTCAGAGTTCCAGATCAAATATATTGTTAGCAAAACCCATCTGAGGTACAGCCAAGTAGAAGGAGGTCCCAGTTTTCATAGTTTGATATAGGAACAGCAGGGTTGGCTAGCATTAGGAATTGTCTTTCAACTATATTGGCATATAATAATGAACTAATAAAAAATAGTGCAAAGTGGGTGATGGTTAGCTTAAAACGTGAAAAATATTTATTCTAAAAAAAGTGTTGACTTAGAAGTCATGATGAATTCTTAGACCAAATTTTATCAATAAATATTTTATTTATAATAAAATATTTTATTTATTATAATAAATATTTATTTATAATAAATGATTGTGAGGCCTTAAATACTTCTTTTTTGTCTCTTTTGCTCAGTATTTAAAATGATACCTTTGACAGAAACTGTGAAAAGAGGAACAAATGGGATAAATTAGGAACTACTGACCAGGGATAATCCTAATGGTTAACATTTGGATCATATAATAAGATATTGCATGTTTCCTTCCTCTCTCCCTCCCTTCCTTCATATATCATTAGATCTTCATGGTTATACATAGTATTGGGTTCATCCAGACAAACTCATACATGCATGGAAATTTATGTAAGTTCATGATACCCCACATTTTCCCTCTCGTCCTCTTTCCCCTCTCCAATTCTCCTTCTTCTATTCTACCAGACTTCCTTTTGTTTACATCTTAATTTGTACTGATTCATTCTTTATATTATCTTATTACTCCTTCCTTTTTTCCTTTACTCTAGCTTATGCCTATGAGAAGAAACATTCATCTCTGAGTTTCTGAGTTCAGCTAATTTCACTTAGCATGATATTATCCATTTCCATCCATTTACCAGCAAAAGCCATAATTTCATTCTTTTTATTGGCTGAGTAGAAATCCATTATATATGCATAACACAATTTCCTAATCTATTCATCCATTGACGGGTATCTGTTTAATTCCATAATTTGGCTATTGTGAATTGTACTGCTGTAAACATTGAAGTGGTTATATTGCTGTAGTATGCCAATTTTAGGTCTTTGGGAAAATATCAAGGAGAGGGGTAGCTAGGTAATATGGTAGTTTCATCCCTAGTTTTTTGAGGCATCTGCATACTGCTTTCCAGAGTGATTATACTAGTCTGCAGTCCCACCAACAGTGTACAAGTGTAGCTTTTCCTCTATAACCTCACCAGCATTTACTGTTGTTCCTATTCTTGATCATTGCCATTCTGACTAGGGTGAGATGAAATATCAGTGTAATTTTGATTTGCACTTCCCTGATTGCTAAAGGTGGTCAACATTTTTTTCATATATTCGTTGGCCATTTGTGTTTCTTCTTTTGAGAAGTTTTTGTTTAGTTCTTTTGCCATTTATTGATTGGATTTTTTTATTTTATTGGTGTTAAGTTTTTTGAGTTCTTTATATTTTCTGGATATTAATCCCCTATTGGATCATTAGCTAGCCCAGATTTTCTCCCATTCTGTAGCCTCTCTCTTTGTGCTCTTAATTGTCTCCTTTGCTCCGAGAAGCTTTTTAATTTGATTGCATCCCCTTTATTGATTCTTGGTTTGTTTCTTCTGCTTTGAGGGTATTGTTAAGGAAGTTGGTGCTAGCAACTATATGATGGAGCATAGTGACCCTATGTTTTCTTCTAGCAGTTGTGAAGTTCCTGATCTAATTCCCAAGTCTTTGATCCCTTTCAATTTGAGTTTTGTGCAGGGTGAGAGATAATGGGTCTAATTTTATTTTTCTACATATGGCTATCCAGTTTTCCCAGCACCACTCGTTAGAAGTCTCTCTTTTTCTCTAAAATAAATTTTTGGCAACTTTGTTAAATATCAGACAGCTATAGGTATACAGGTTTTTCCTTTGTCTTCCATAATCTTCTGTTCCTCTTTATTTCTATTTTGATGCTAATACCATGCTATTTTTGTTACTATAGTTTTATAGTATAATTCAGATCAGGTATTGTGATTCCCTCCTGCTTCACTTTTTTTACTTAGTATTGCTTTGGCTATTCTAGCTCTCTTACTTTTCCCCAAGTGAATTTTAAGAATTATTTTTCTTTTTTTCTAATTCTGTGAGAAATGACATTGATTCATTGTCAATTTCATAGACTCTGTATATTGCTTTTGATAGTATGGTCATTTTGACAATATTAATTCTGCCTATCCAAGAACATAGGATGTCTTTCCATATTCTAATGTCTTCTTCAATTTCCTTCTTCAGTGTTTATACTTTTCAGTGTAGATCTATTTTACCCCCTTGATTACATTAATTCTCAAGTATTTATTTTTTTGAAGTTGTTGTGAATGAGATTTTTTTTCCTAATTTCTTCCTCAGCTGAATCATTTGTTGGAATATAGGAAAACTATTGATTTATGGATGTTGATCTTATATCCTGCTCCTTTGCCAAACTCATTTATGAGATCTAGAAGTCATCTGGTGGAGCTTTTTGGGTCTTCTAGATACAGGATCATATTGTCAGCAAACAGAGATATTTGACTTCTTTCCACGTTTGTATCCTTTGGTGTCCTTTTCTTGCCTGATCACTCTGGCTAATGCTTTAAGTACTACATTGAACAGGAGTGGTGAGAGTGGATAGCCTTGACTTTTTCCTGAGTTTAGAGGAAATATTTTTATTTTTATTTTTTTCATTTAGTATGATGTGGCTTTGGGCTTGTCATAAATGGCCTTTATAATGTTGTGGTGAATTCCTGTGATACATAGCTTCTCCAGCATTTTTAACATGAGAGAGTGTTGGATTTTATCAAAGACCTTTTCTACATCTAATAAGATATTCATATGACTTTTGTCCTTAATTTTGTTTGAGTGATGAATTACATTTATTGATTTGTGAAAGTTGAGCCAAACTTGCATCTCTGGAATTAAACCCACTTGATTGTGGTGTATTATCTTTTTGATGTGTTTTGCATGTGGTTTGCTAATATTTTATTAAGGATTTTTGCACCTATGTTTATTAGGGAGACTGTCATATTTTCTCTCCTGATATGTCTTTGTCTTGTTTTAGTATCAGGGTAATACTGACTCATAAAAAATATTTGGAAGTATTCCCTCCTTTCAATTTTATGGAATAATTTGAGAAGGATGTTAGCTCTTCTGTAAAGGTCTAGTATAACTCAGTGAAGACTCCATCAAGTCTTGGACTTTTCTGTTTTGGAAGGCTTTTAATTACTGTTTCAATTTTATTATTTGATATTGGTCTTTTTATCTTTCTGATTTAATTTGGCAGGTCATATTTGTCCAGAAATTTGTCAATGTATCCCAGATTTTCCAGTTTATTGGAGCATAAGTTTTCATAATAGGTTCTGATAATCCTCTGGTTTTCAGAAGGGTCTGTAGTGATATCTCCTTTTTTTTTAATTGCTGATCTTGTTGTTTTGTTTCTTCTCACTCTTTCTTTTGGTTAGTTTGTCTAAGAGTTTGTCACTCTTATTTACCTTTCCAAAGAACCACCTCTTCATTTCTTTGATCCTATATTTTGTTTTCTATTCTTAATTTCATTGATTTTGTCTCTAATTATAATTATTTCTGTCTTCTACTTGTTTTGGGGTTAGATGCCTTGTATTAGGACATCCATCTGGAGAAAGAAATATTCTTTAAAATCACACTAAACATCCATGGTCATCTCTCCTGGAGACTGTCAGGACAGGGCTAGAGTTTAGAGCTACTCTTCAGAGAAAGACCTTAAGACCAAAACAGAGGAAAATCATCTTCAGTCTTTTGTATTTAGATTAAAAAAACTAAAACCTTTATTCAGACTAGATTGATCTTCATTTAGGGCAGTGACTTCAG